CCTGTGAACCATAGCCATGTGATGTGAGTATCAGTCACCTGGAGGCAGGACTTAAAAGCCTGAATTTTGCCTGAAACTCTCAGACAGAAGAAGTCTCTTGGAAGAGAGACGAAAGGTTTCATTAAAGAAGAACCCGTCCAGAGGACCTATACAATTTTTTTCCTTTTGATTTTTTACCTGGATTACTGAGATGCATCAGGATACAATAACTATAGCTTATGGAGCCCGCGAGTGGACATGGGGGATTTTTTTTCCTTTTGCGTTCCCTCGCAATACCTTTGCGTTCTCTCACAATATTGTTTTACGTTCCCACGCAAAAGTTTGTTTTGTATATGAACTGAATTAAATCAGACTTTTAATCTGAAATATCCGGTTACCAAAACAGGATGTCTCGCCACAAGTTCGTGAAATTACATTGATGTTGCGTGGCTGCACTGTGTTAAAATATCGGTATATGACATACTTCCATGCGTGGCTGTGTGATATATTCATTCTGAAGCTGAATTAAAGCAGTAGGCTAACTCACTAATGGTGAACATGTGAGTTTGTTAATAAAACGGMAGGCACAAYAGTGATAAACTACTTTTGCTAGGGAACGCAAAAGGTATTGCGAGGTAACGCAATACTATTGCGTGAGAACGCTAAAGAAAAATAATCTCCCACGTCCCGAGGGCTCAGTACGGAGCCCGCGAGGGGACATGGGAGATTTTTTTTTCTTTTGCGTTCCCACGCAATAGTAGTTTATCACTGTTGTGCCTGCCGGTTCATTAACAAACTCAAATGATCACCATTAGCGAGTTAGCCTACTGCTTTAATTCAGCTTCAGAATGAATATATCACACAGCCACGCATGGAAGTATGTCATATGCCAGTATTTTAACACAGTACACCCACGCAACATCAATGTCAGTTTCACGAACCTGTGGAGAGACATCTTGTTTTGGTAACCGGCTATTTCTGATTTAATTCAGTTCATATTCAGAACAAGCTTTTGCGTGGGAACGCAAAGGTATTGCGAGGGAACGCAAAAGGAAAAAAAATCCCCCATGTCCCCTCGTGGGCTCCGTAGCTCTGTAATAGCTAATTGAGTTTGTGGTGGTAAAAAAAACTTTTCCATGTCTGTTAAACAAGCTGCAGAAAAACATGATCAAAAAAGTTCTTCACAATGGTCTCGGAGTAATTTTATTGCAACAATATGAGAGTCAACATGCATACAGCAATACAAGTTGAGTCTGGGGACACAGCCCCAGTGAAGCATCTTTTATCCCTTTAGCAGAAACCAGTCCCAAAACTGGTTATTTCTGACATGCAAGGAGTGGTTCTTTATCTGAGCAGCAAAAATTCCTAGTTTCAGATAAAACTTGTTCTGTGGTCCTTAAACAGAGGAAAACACCTTAGAATGCGGCCATACTTGTTATTACATTGTCTCTTACATTCCAGTAATAACAAAACAAATAGTTCTGCAATCCAGTTGAGCAGAAACTACGGGTGTGTGTGTGAGGTTTAAGCTGGAACAACAAGAAATGACACTTTTAAGGTGCTCTACTGGAAGCTTACAACATCAGTTGAAATGATTCAGAATATATCATGACAGTAAGCATACAATRCATTTATAAGTAAAACAAGAAAGAAACATAAGTAAAATACATTCAAAACTTAAATACATGGGTGACAATTTCATTTTCCTTCACAAGTTACATCTAATTTCCCTTTGGGATCAATAAAGTATTTTTGAATTGAATTGAGTGGCAATTAAAGTGTTTGAAATTTTGTTTTATCTTTGTACAATTAATATTTTATTATATCAAATGGATACACTTCTCTTGTGCGTTGAAAGGATGAAACATGACTGAACTGTGGCTCTTCTAGCTCTGAAAAGCTCAATAAAAACTTGGTTTTATTACCAAGGTTCAGTCTTTTCAGTTTTAGTAAGCMGATCATAATATTAGTAACTACATCTGTTTGTATTAATTAATTTGAATGTATAAAACCAATATTTCCCTCTGGAATAATTAAGAGATAGGTGATACAAAATTTGAAGTTAGTGCAAAAGGCTAAATAAAAGTAAATAGCTAGCTAAAAATATTTAAAGGTTAGCTAGAAGCTAAAAAGTAAACTGGCTAAAAGTGTTAAAAGGCTAGTTAGTAAAAGAATGTAACAGCAGTATGTTGCCACAAATTTAAAATGTTTTTGTATTAATTAATCTAAAATAACATGTATGTAGAGACGATATTTGTAAATTTGTAATATTTTTAAAAGTAAAAAAAAAATAGTCTGGCTGTCCGTGTGGGTGCAGAGCAGGCTGAGGGGAGTAGAATGTGGGCAAAATAATAATAATAATAATAATTAGACAGCCTATTTAGTTAGAGAGTTAGTTTTAGTAAAGTGAAAATAACCTACAGGTTTAAAACGCACAGAAAAGTGTTGTGAGCTTTTTGATGACAGAAGAAAAACAGAGCCGCGAGAAAAAAAATGTCACCACAATGTTAATTCATGTCAAATATGTTGTTTCTGCAGGTAAATAGGAGTTTCAAAGTTCACCTAATAATAATAACAACATAAGTCTGAAGGAGTAAAGGTTGAATTTGTTGTGCAGAACAAGCAATRTTTATGAACTGAATTCTGTCTCCTGAACTCCGGCTGGTAATCTGTATGAATTATTCAGTGCACTAATTACGTCTCGCTGTGTGAATCCTCTCATAGTGCAGCCTGGATCTGAACAGCCGGGTCCTGAAGCTTCATGGCGATGGCGAGGACCTGCCCTTCTTGAACACTGTAACAGACGGCCGGTGCCAACACGACACCAACAAAAACCTGTGAGCCGCAGCCGCTGCTTGCAGCGGTGTGGAACGATGCTGTTTGTCTCTGGACCGTCCAATCACAATGTCTCTTACTGCCAGAACATGGACGAGCATCCACCTCGGTCAATCTCAAGTTTACATCTCTGTGTTTGCTAAATYTAGATACTGACCACGATTTTCTCTTATTCTCAATTAGTCTACCTTTTGGAGCAAATTCTACCCCTCTAAGGTTGTTCTTTTTTATGATTAATAATCTGTATATCAGTAATCTGTGTTCTGCTGCTTCCGTACACTAAAGTCCTCTGAAAGCATTAACACAGTAATTGAAGGTGTACTTAAGTAGAACATGTTGTAATTTGATTGTGATAAATTGCGTTTGAAATAACCTGAATTCTTTAAAAAGCAAACTGCAACCTTTATAATTTTTCAGTTTAGAAAGTGGTTTAAATTGAAGGCTTTGACAAAAAAATAATTCAGACATCACCATTAAAACCAAATATACGCAGCACTTTTTAAACACTGATGTTTGGGAAATAAGTAAACCACTCTGATCAAATCAAACTTATCCCTCCAGGTACCCAGAATGCAATGTTTTGTAATGTTATATCCCAGCCTAATTATCTACAAACATCTCCAAATTCAATATGTTTAGTTTTCATCTAATAMTTGCAAATTATTAATAATTTCAACAATTTATGCTGTTAACAGTTTTGCCATACATCCGTATTTAAAGACTAATTCTAAAAAGTATTTTAGGAAATGTGAACTCAGTGTCTTGCATAAGATGCCTTCTCCGTCGATTAAAAGAGTTTAAATGTGTTTGAACTTAATGTGGAATTAGGATTAGAAAAGCACAGATTTTAAGGATGTACGGATGTTTATTGTAGTTCTTTAAGTTGTTATATTGGAATTTCCTAAACTTTTTTTCAACCTTTCACCACAAAACTGATGAGGTTTCATTGGCTCTAAACTTTTCAGTAACCTGGATTTTATTAAAGGTATTTTCCAGACAGTTAAATACGTCTGAGTCAGACTCAGAAACAACAAATATATCAAAACATTCCATCTGCATGTCAAATTTTTGCCTTTGTAAAAGTCTGCATGTAGTGTAGTGGTCAAACTGTCACGTTGAAAGTGTGTAGGGGCTGAATGTGTGCGTGTGTGTTTAAATACAAGTCAAGGGTTTTCTTCCCTGTTTTAGCTCCTAGTTCAAATGGGAAAAAAGTAAATAATTCCATTTTTTCCCTAAACGAGCTCCGAAAAGAATAATCTGCCAAAAAGCAACCCCAGCTGCCTTCCTTCTCTGCCTCGTTCTGATGTTTTTAAAGCTCCTGGTTGTGGCTCATTCTTTGTCCAAACATTTGGTCTTTTTTGTACATCTTTCTGTTATGTGCTGCACTGATGAATCTAATTATGTTGCTAATTTGTTTATAACAAAATTATGTAAAAAAAAGGTTCTTGCCTCCATTTTCATCTTTGTTTTAGGTACAGAATATCAGGAACTGCTTGCTGAAGGCTATCATGCTCTGCTTTAATAAAACCCGAGCCACAATGTGCTTTTAATTGTGCAACACATCTAACTGGTTTCTGGAGCCACACATATTGGCAAAGCTAGTTTCCCTTTGATGTATTAGTGATCTTACCATGCTGTGTGAAAAAAGTTTGATGTATTAAAGAAATTTATTTTTGGTGTTTCTTTTTCTGAATATTATTTTCTCTGCTCAATAAAATATGTATTCTGGCTAGCTGCTTGTTTTAATATAAAATGGCTTTGCTCAGAGGAAGGATGGTGTGTTTGCAAACCTTATTAAAAGAAAGAGCAGCGAGTTCGAATAAAACCTTTAGTGTCTATAAAAATAACTAAGCAGACTGACTGTGGGATGGTTCAACAAGCAGACAGAGTAACCCGTAACAATCAGCCCTCAAGTCAAACTATGTGCTCTTCACTGGCTCATCCTAAATAAAGAACAGAGAAATCAGAYGTTCCCACAGCACCAGGAGCCTTTACAAGTCAACCGGTTGGATTGACAGAGGATCCCACCTCTCAGTAACCCCTCCCACACACAGTTATCAAGTCTGTAAAAAAACATTATTGTACTTAAATATCCAAAAGACGATGTATTTCTTGAAGAAAATGTGATTATTGAAGCACAATAATACTTACTAAATACATACTTTTACTA